TTTCAGAGAAGCCACATAAGTCAATGTTTATTAACGTTCATAGAGTTTAGTATTTAGATGTTAATGAAGCAATAATTACAAGGACCATTTGCAGTTACCTGCTTTAAAATCGTAAGGAATAGGTTACTTAGGTCTAAAGAATGACTTGCTCTCGGTATAATAACTCTTCACCATGCGAGCAGAAGGAAACAGCTTTTTGCATTTGAGCTTTATAAGCAGCCTTCAGTTCCTCGAGTAATATTTTAGAGTCTTACCTTTAGCGAGACACTTTTCAGCAGACATGTTGGCACTTGAAGTAATGTGTGAATCAAAAGGCTTGAAACGGACCGAGCTCAGAGTGGTGTCAGTGAACTGCGCTGCTCAACTTTTCATTTATACACTTGTGGGCGTGTCCAATCAGTCTGCCATGTTATTGTTGGAGATAAGAGGCGTTTTCCTGGAAACCAGTCATAACCAGTTCTAACAAACAATGCTTATTCGTTTTTTTCCCTAACTGTACTGTCACGAACTTTAATTCTTTCACTCGAATGTAGCTTATTATCATTACTATGTTGGTTTTTGTCGGTGTAATTTTTATACCCCTTTTTAATATATTTTAGGTCATTTCCTGCAGTACAAAATGTTTGCAAAACTCAATGTTGTGTGTAACACATGTGGGGAAAACGTGTCTCGTGAACCTCCTGAACTTGGAAATTAAGTGTGTTTGTACTAGCTAAGATAACAATCTTGAAGGAATTCCTTGAGTAATCTATTTGAACACAGGACTTTAAATCTCGCGAGTATTTTTATTTATTTATTTTACATTTGATTTATATAAAAAAAAAAACATTGGTAAGTGAAGCTGCTTAGTAGGCTACTTTCTTAAAAGCATTTCTCATCGTATCTCTTATTAATTTGCAGTAAAGACAAACCGCATCAACTGTCTCCTATCGTCGGAGCATCCACTGTGAGAGGCGGTACCCGCCTGATTCAGGCACATAAAAGTCACTATTTATATGATAAATTGGACTTGTGTTAATAGTTGACTAGCTGGGCTACTTTTACCTTTAAAACCGCCAGGATAGACGTTTGTGTAACGCATATTCACAGTGACTTTGCAGATACTCCACTCCCCGTTTTTGTTTTGTTTTTACATAACCCAGAAAAAAGTAAGACTTGTTATGACTTTGCGAGATTACCGCCCCCTTTGTCTCCTTCTGATATTGTTGCTGTTAGACATGTTTTCACAGAAATGTTGCTCTCGTTATTCTCAGAAGCCAATTCTGGAAGCCATTTCTAAATCCTGGCTTTTACTGAGTCGCAGTGAATAAAGGCTGTGATGACAAATGATGGATCTCCTGCAGGTTAACATGTCATCTTTTGCTTTCTCAGACAGCTATTTGGAATCAACTCAAGATCTTTTGATCTGCTTATTTTGTCATGTTTTAAAGAGGTTACAGGTTTCACCTGCCACAAAACTGCCTCTCAGCAAATCTTAC